GAGTCCATCTGGACTGAAAGGAACAAATGTGGGGGAGAACTAAGCTGCAAAAAGTCTTTAGTATTAGTAAACCTACTTCTATGCCATGTTTATACTACATAGCTTTTGTTGCAAGTTCTAGGCACTCTTTTTCTGTACAAAAAATCTATACCTGAATAAAGCTGGAAATCAGTTCTCAAGAAGCGTTTTTATCATGGCTTGGGCTCTGCTGGCATTAAGCAGGGAAACTATTTTTATACCCAATCGGCAAAAACTAAGTTTAGACATAGGTGCCAGCTATTTGAGTGCACTCATCAGAAGAATTTAAAGTTTTTAAGAATTAACTGAGCTTCACAGCTTCCTGCAGGGAGGATAACACAGGCAAAGACAAAAGACAACTTGCTTCAAGTTTTAAGTCCATTGAACTGTTGTGGAAATAAATGAATTTCTGATGGCTGTCCTGACCCTTAGAGCCCACTTCCTTGATGTGGTCAGTGCTGCTCAAACAGAAGTATGCCAGAGGGATGCGAGCCAACCAACAGCGGATGCTTTGTGTCCATGTGGTAAAACAGATTAAAAAAGGCACTCAATAAGTGAGGGTATTTCATTATTTAGAGCTTTTCATTCACCTGCATTTTCAAATAGGATATTCCAGTTTTAGAGAGTAATGCCTAGACAGAGGATTCCCGTGTACATTCATTTGCAATTCATGTGAGTGAAGCTAACTACTCAGAAAGCTGAACGGGAAAGCTAAACAAAAAGATTTAATTGATTTTGAAATACAAACACTTTAAGGCTTTAGCTACATTTTGGAATAAATAACGTGAATATGACTGGTGGTTCTTAGGATTTAATTCTCTTGCTTTGGAATGACTTGGGAATAAAATCAAATTGGGTTTGCAGAGCAGTAAATGGATGTATGCACCATGTACATCTTTATATATCCTAAGGACAATAGAAAGAATTCTTAGTTTCTAAATAATTCTTTGTTTCAATTTGCATTTAAGACTTGTTGACTCTCATGATCTAAGGGGCTTCATTTTTTTACAGTGAGTTTTGTATGTGTTGAACACAGCTGCTGAACAGATTGGTGAGGTATACTTAGCACATGGGTCTTGGAGCTAGAGAGGCAGCAGCACAGCCCTGCAGCTGGGAGTCCAATATTAGAAGGCCGTCCATTTCTCAGCAGACATTTTTACAAGTTTTCCTTGACGTGCCCGTTGTGACCAAGGTTAGGGGTTACAAGCTACATATTCACAGGTACGGGTATGTCACTGTTACACCACCTCAGACTCACTGCAAGCATTTTCTTGCACACAGCTGTATCCGAGGATTCGTTCTGACTGACCTGTGGTATATCTTCTCTTCGATTGTACCTGCAGTGAGAAGCCTGTACACAGTCACCTGTTTCTTTTGGCCTATTCTCCAAGCACGCTCACGAGCCTGGAACACAAAAGGTTTGGTTACCAGACATTAGCCTCTTAAACACGTGTTTGACAGGGAGCTATCAAGACCACGTTTCAAACCTAGTTTGGACATATAACAAATAGTTCAAGAAGCTACACAGCTGTGGTGTTTCTAAAGCATTAGAAGAACTAACTCAGAAATACAAGAAAACAATTTAGAAAGTTTACATATGTCAAAAAGATAAGACTCAAATTGTACCCAGAAATCCATGAAAAATCTCAGAATAAATTGGCATGTTAAAATTAGAGCTCACACCTAGGATATGTACTTTAGATAGACTTGTTTATAGACTTTATATAGAAGATTGGAACAACCAGAAGAGATCTGTTTCAGAATCTACCTTTAACGTACACATGTCCTTTGAACATGTCTTTTTCTTAACTGAAAGCTTTCCTGCAAACACCTTGAACCAACCCCTAAAACAGATCACTCCAGTTCAGACTAAAGTCTTGCAGAAATCGGTTACGTAGGACTTCCATCAGAAATACTTTTTCCTCTCAAACATGTAAGCACCATATACTGCTAAGGGATCTGATAACCCAGAGTCTCATCACACCATCAGGTAAAGAAGAATTTCTTTCAGCTGCCTAACAGCAGCTTCTGATAAGGGCATAGCTATATAACATTTATTAGCAAAACCAATTAAAGCACCACTTGTTCTCCTTTTCTTACCCTGCACTGCCACCATCAACAGTCATGCCCATTTAGCAGCTTGCAGAATCATCCAGTCTGTTTACTTGAAGCCCCAGGCTATTTCAACTGTTTGTCTGGCTACACTCTAAACAAATTATATGAATTGACAATATTGAAGAGTGGTAACATATAACAGCATAAAGGGGATGTGGTGGAAACCACTTAAACTTAGCTGGTAAATGGAATGTAGTGAATTAAGCTTACCTGTGTGTCTGTACTGGGATTCCAGTCAGGATCATAAATAATAACTCGGTCAGCACCGGTCAAGTTAACTCCAATGCCACCAACACGAGTGGTTAGAAGAAAAATAAATATAGACTTGTCCTATAACACAAGAGAATTTACTGAAGCAAGAATTGCAAGATGATATAAGAAACCAGAAATAACAAAAAAAAGACATCAGCATTATTTGCAAAGATGCAAAGAGAACCAAGAGGAAGAATAAGTTTCCTTGTTTGTTTAACATCTCTTTTGACAAACAAAAGCAGTCTGATCTAAATTTCATTTACTGTTGTCCAATAATTTATTTTTTTTTCTCACTTTTCAACTCCATTTTTTTTTCTGAGCAGGAAACCCAACTGAAGTGTGAAAAAAATGACGACTTTTTCACTGTCTCAAAAGCTCTTGAAACCACAAAGTGGTTTCATTTGCCTGAACCCCCCAGCTTTTCATCTCAAACCTGAAGTAGTATATTTAAAAACAGACCAAAAAGGAATGCAGGAATTCAAGCATACTCGCTAACAGGCACTAGTGTGTGTGGGATGCAACATCTCACCTCATTATATCTTGTAATAAGGGGCTGCCTGGAAGCTATTGTTGTGGTACCATCCATCCTGAGGTAGGAATAGTTTCTGTTTCTCACAAAGACTTCAAGAATCTGCAGCACCTGTTGCAATGAAAAGAATTAATGAAACCCAGACACGAAGACTGAGCAACTGTCTGATAAAGTCATAGGAGCTGCTGGTACTAACTGCAGTGCCAGTCAGACAAACAAGATTGATGACCAAAAACTTGTGAATCTTAAATGAGCAGAAAAGTCATTAACGTACGTAACTGAGGAAAAAAAAAAGGTAGTTATTTCACTGCTGAATGCAGGAATGGAATGTTTGCGTTTAGTTTGGAGCCATGGTCTCAAGACAATTAATGAGGTGAACAGGGCACCGCCATTCCAGTGAATCCACAGAAGCAAGATAAAACTGAGCATAGACACAGGAAACAAATGAAGGTCACTGTGCTGCTGGCCCAAAGCACACAACTCTGAAGATCAGATGTGCACATGCACTAAAGAGCGTGACCAAAGTGACTACCAATTCTATCCATAAACTAAACAGTAGGGACAATAAATACAGCCTCACCTGTGAACTGGAGCTTGGGAACTGGTCTCCAATTATTTCAAAGACATTAGTCTTTTTGTTTGTTTGGGTTTGTTTCCCCCTCCATAAGATGCTAATTTTCTTAGAAGGGCACCACTAAAGGTGGTTCTAATTAGAAGTCTTGTAGGGACACATACACACTATTTTAGTCATAGTTATAACTAAAACTAAAACCAATTAGCTCATCTTACCTGCCTTGACTGAGTGAAAAACAACACTCTGTGACCTTGCTTGTGCCATATTTTCAGCAAGGATTCTACCACTATCATTTTTCCAGAACGTTTCCAATATCCAAACTGATCTGCTTCTTCCACTTCAGCATCTGGGACACTGTTCAAAATGCTGGGACCACCGGAGAAGAGGTCAGGGTGGTTGCAAATCTTTCTCAAAGCTACTAGTCCTGAGAAAATCTAAAGAACACAGGAGAAAAACTATTTTTATTTTCTTGACAAGTACCTGTATCTATATGAGTCATGTCTGAGAAATATAAACAGCGATGGATTAACCCAGTCATCATCAAGAAGTTTGTTTTTAATAGTGGTTAGCTCTTTAGGACACTAATACTTGTTTCATGGAAAGTTTCGGGTCCAAAACAGTCCAAGAGAAGGTCAGTGAAGTTTAATGTTCTTGTGAGCCTATTCTAGTGAGAGTGTTAAGAGAATTCTGCAACAATTTCCACATTAGCAAAAGCAGTCTCTAGCTGTAACTCACAGTCCAATTCTTCCTACCTCAAAAGCAAAAATTCCACTAAGTTCATTACTTTAAATTATTGTGTCCCTCCTTCCAACCCCTGCCATGTTAGCAGGTAACTGAAGACAGACCTTGAAGATGGCAAGTAAACCCACCCGAATGCACAGTAACAACGAACAGATGAGTAAACATTTGAACAAACGGATGAAGCTGAAAATCACCACTTTTGATGCCAAGTTAGGATTATTTTCAGTTATTCGTTTAATATTACAAGTATTATTTAATCTTCTGATATAATGGGTTCTCATAAAAATGAACTAGTTTGAAACAGCAAATTTCTCAGTTTTCCATCACTACAAGTTGGAAAAGTCTGCTCAGAATTCATGGTTTCTTTGCACTTTTTTTTTTTCATCTGGAATTCACTGCCGTCACCACAAAACTTCTAATAAAAGCATTGACATTTACTGTTCAAAGTTTACCAAACTCTAGCAAATATGACAGCTCGTTCCATGACATTTGGGGGATTGGACTGGATGATCTTTTGAGGTCCTTTCCAATCCCTAACGTTCTGTGATTCTGTGATTTTAGAGAAATTTCTGCAGATAGCATTGTGCAAGCCATCTCTTGAAGCTCAAGCTCCTTAAGGCCAACATCTGCTTTGTATGGCACTGCAATATACATGGCTGTACTGACCAGGCAACTACCTGGAAACATGAGGGGTAAGGGGAGAAGGGATTTCACAGTTCACAAGAAAAGAAAATGTAAGGTACATTACACATTATAACCAAGAAATACGACTTCTCCTCTTACAAACAAGAGATCTGTGTTCTGCAGCTAGAATGGTGGTGAAAAATGTCCACTGCATGAAGAAAATCAAATGGACCAGATGCGTGCAGTGGAATGTGTCACAAGGAATAGCAGGCTTTTTACACAGGCAACAGCATGCATTTGAAACTGTATTTCAATTACTGCTGTTATTCTAGCCATAGCAATCCCAACACTTGTGTTGTGAGGATGGAGGCAAACGATGTTGAAGTGACTAGTAAGACAATAACAAGGACGCCTGCTTTTTGCTCTGCTGCATGTTAAGACTCTGAAAGAAACTGCTGCATCACAAAGTGATCATACCTGAACTGTACTCTGAAGACAAATGACTCTTCCTTTGCTCCGCTTTTGCGACTGGTTAAAAGCATGCACACAGTTTCCTACAGCAGATCATCCAAAAAGCCGTAACTTGCTCCCAGGACCACAAACACATTGCAAAGGCTGTGCCATTCCTACTTTTATCTGATCATGCGCCTACATAGGGATCAGTAACTTACATATTCCATGGAACAGTTCTGAGAAAAAACCAAAACCAAACCAAACAGATATCCAGAAAAGCAGAGCTCGGATCAGTGCGTTGGCTCCCCTTTCTGCTCAGAATCCAGGTAGAAGAATACAAAGGCAAGTCGATGACTATCCATCAAACTCTACTGGCCATTAACCTTAATTAATGCCAACCTGCATGTCTCCATTGAGAATCTGGTAAACTTCTTTCGAGTTGATGAAATTTTGATAGACTTGACGCTGCTCATCTGTCAAACGGCAAAAGAGGACCTACAAAAACAAAGCAACCAACTGCTCAAGCCCAACCTTTACACTCCAAATACAGTAAATCTTAAAAGGTTTACGATGTGCTACAATGAAGCTTCACAGATGTCTGACATACTGAAGCACTAAGTTAAAAGCTACTGAATAGAAATTATCAGAAATAAAAACCTTAGAATTTTTAGAAAATATAAGCATGAAGATTGGTTTTGTGAGTTTTTTCTGTGCCCTTTCCTAGTTGTTATTTTTTCCCATCAAGTTTAGTTTTCAAAGTGCTGCTATTTTCCAGTTTTAAGGAGGTAACTGTGCAACGTTTGCATTCTCTCAAAGCTATGTTCATAGCAAATGCTTTCCATGGTGTATCTGTTATGTCCCTTACAACCTGCAAATTCTTAGTACCTTATGGGAAAACCAGGTTAGCACACGTAATCTGTTCTGCCATTAGCCTCTGAGTGTGAACATATAATGATTTTTCAGATGGTCTGATGGACTAAAATGGAACAAAATCACCTCCTTGCATCCTGCAACGGACCCGACATTAGGCCTTAAGTCAAACTTATGTAGTGCCTGTGACTGATAAGAACAAAAAATCAAGTTTGTTTAGGATTGCACTCTTTAAAGTCAATAGCCCAGAGTCTTTAAAGTATACAGAAATTCAAAATTTGATTAAAAAAACATCATTAGACTGCACAGGAGAAATTAAGCATGGCCTACTCTTTTACTGTGTACCTTTCAGCCCTGTCTTACAAAGACTAGCATGTCTACTTCCCTTTTGGAGGGAGAAGACGGGATGGAAAACAGTGAAGAGAGAAGAAAGCCTGCAGCACTGAAACGTGAGTGGCAGAAGAATCTAATAATTACTATGAGCATTTGTAGAAATTCTTTTCAAATAATCCTTTCGACCTCCTCTACATTGAATCCAAATGTTTCCTTTAAAATACCCCACCTCTTTGTAGAGCAAACAAGTGTTAGATCAAAAGGCTAGTATTTTGGAAATGTATTAGAATGCGCTGGCCCAGCTAGCTTGCAGTAGGAACAACTGCCATCAGCTATTTCTCTACTATTTGTTGCCCAAATGGACCTTTTTTTTTCTCCCACAGCAGGAAACAGTGCTGAAGTGTCTAAGAGATGCACCTTAGGAAACACTCCACAGACTACTCATTTGTATGCACCTGTGACCTCTGAGGACAGTATTAGACAGACCTGACTGCACTTCACACAGCCTTTGTTTTCCAGATGAGAATGTACCTGTACAGACCCTGCAAGACTACAACCATTTAATACTCAGAAGACAGGCGAGAAGAATGAGCAACTTGAAAGCTCTGTATCTTATCTTTAGTTAAAACAGCATTTCACCTGCTATTAGCAGAAATTATTTCCAAATGTCCATGAAAGACTGGATTTTTGGGGAGGAAGTGAGTTCAGATCAAATAGTGAAGATAAGCAAACCTGTTCATTTTTATCTGGAAGTGAAAGGCTCATTTTTACATCAGCTTTCATTCTTCGCAGCAAGTAGGGGTTTATGGTGTCCCGTAACACACAGGCACATTTGTATGCAGTTTTCACCTGCAGAAGGAAGCAAAAGCAAATGTTCTATTTTGGTTCTTGGTATTAATTTTAGCAACAAGCACATTTCTCTGATTAGTAATAGGAAAGTCATTGTAAGATTGGATGGTTTGTGATTTATGTGCAACTACAGTTACTTATTCAACACAACATAAATTGCGATAAAATTCATGTTAGGAACAGTAACACTGAATAAATAAGTCTTCTCAAATACCATGAACTTATCTTCCCTAATTTAGGGGAATTTAAGAGAGAATAGAAATTAAAGACTTCTATTAGAAAATAATCTACGTAGCGACTATAACCTTACTGCGCAGAACCAAAATCCTCACAAAAACTGCTAATACACATACTGAAGATTAAAAAAGGAGCTTGCAGCAAGGATGGTTACTAGACAATAAGTGAAGATTAGTGTCCGCTTGAGACTATTAAAAAAAAAACCAAACAAAAAATCGGTCCAAGAAAATCCCCATGATCACAGAAAGTAAAGGTCACTCTGGCCTTAAATGGAGCATATGGTTCTCTAATGGGTAATGGATGTGCCATGGGTATTAACTCCACCTAATGGCTAAAAATACCTCGATTTCTCTTAAAGCAAAACAAAGAATATAATAAATTATTGATATGTAAAAAACCAATTTGCTGTTCAATTTCATATATTGCTCAACGAGGGAAGCACAAACTCACAGAGAAAATAAAACTTCAGAAACGTATGTGTGCAAAACATTACAAACAATACTGAAAAGGAAACAAGTTTCTTAGCATTTATATGAACCTATCTGCACATTATTACACAGAATTTATCAGCTCATTGGAAAAATGGAAGGAGTCATACTGAGAAACACAACTACCAATATTAATAGACATTTAAAATAAAAGTCCAAATTAGTTTTGCTTTAAAAATTAAGCACTTATCTCCTTTCAGACTTCCAATATCTAGTTTAGCTTTTTATAAACAGAAATAGTTTTCAGTTTGGATTTGAGGATTCCTCTGTTGCGTAACTCGCCAAAGCTTGAGATCAAACAGGAAAGTTCTATTTAAATACATCAAAATATGAGATCAGTCACCTCCCACTCCAACTTGCTTATTTTCACTTTATGTTAAAGAATGCTTCTAATGATTTCAACTTTAGGGCTTTTCACAAGAAAAACTCGTGTATTAGATAAAAGATGGCACGTAAAGATGAAGCAGTCTTATTTAGTTGAACAGTTCTTTTCACACACGCAGCAGTAAAACACACACGCAACTCTCTTTTGGGTTAATGTCTGTAACACACAGCACGAGGTACGTTTAAAAGTCAGTTTTGACATAAGTTTCCTTCAAGCAAAGTGGTATTTTTGATGCATTTACCTGCACAGGAGAGGCATTGGAATATCCTCCCATGGTAATAGGAACAGAAAATTGCTCCATGAACACAGGTAGGGTTCCTAATTTCCCTGGGAACACAAAGTCAAAGAGGGACCAGAGCTCCTTTAGGTTGTTTTGCATAGGGGAGCCAGACAAGATGATTCGATGAGGTGTGCGGAACTATCAATAAGAAACATAAAACCAAAAGAAAGTTATGCTCATGGTTCATGATGTAACCTGCCTCTGGACTCAGAGGACATTAAATTTCACCATCAATGAATTCTCATTTTAAAACATGCGTCCTCATATTCCTGAAATAAACAGTGTTCTGCAAATAATGTCCATAAACTGCTAGCAGAAAATGAACAGCAGCAATCTGACATTTATCCCCAATGGTGAATTACTACACAATTTAACATTTCTGGCTTTTTTCCTTTACCACACTTTTGTACATTTACTGATGTAAACTCACTAAAAACATTAAGTTAAACAGTCCAATATAGACCACTGTGACTTAATTTTATTCTTTATTGATGTGAAATGTGTATTTTAATAATAAAGTACTATAGGCTATTAGATTTTGGAACCTCCCACCACAGCACTTAAAATCTCTCGTCTGTTTTTGATACAGTACCTGCTTGCATGCAAGTGTGACTGCAGCATTTGGATTTCGGATTTTGTGACCCTCATCCAGAATCACATAATGCCAGTCATAGCTGTGGATGTTATCCTGCATCAGTCGAATGTAGGAATAAGATGTAATTAAAATTCCATGGCATGAAGCAATTTCACGAATCAGTCTCACCTAAAAGCAACAGGAGCATGTTGTCAGCGAGACAGAAAACTCAGACCTACTGATGAGACCTGCTCATCTGTAAAAGCATTCATGGTATTTAAGACTCATCTTTCTTGCATTTATCCTCCAGATAAGACTAGAAGACTTAAGCAGAAAATCATGGGCTGGGAGGCGATTCTGGATGAAACAAACACATCCAGTGTAAAAGGAAATAAAAGTAGAACCATTGCAGGATTTGCTAAAGGAAATACAAACCCCTCATTACTAGAAACACCTTTAAGAAAAACAAAACAAAACCAACAAAAACAAAAGGGAAAAAAAAAAAATCTATCTCGAAAACTCAGATGGTGTTAAAAGTCTACGACCTCTTATTGTAAAATTCCTGGATCAGACATATCCCAAGATTCTGCAGTTAACTGTTTAAGAATTTCTACTTCCTGATTATCATCTCCTGATAAAACCAAAACACATCACTTAATGTTGACACTGTGATTCTCAAGAGAATATGCAATCTTTAAAACCTTTTGTATTCCAGACAGAGTAGGATTTTTAGGCAGGTGTGGCCATCTGAAGCTTAATTTTACCTGGTACGTAGTCTGCAACCACGTCCTAGAGTCTCAGCAATGGCCTACCATAGAATATTGTAGACGTCTCTACCCAAACACTTCAGACAAATCATCTCGGGCGATTTCAAATTAAAAGCTTGTAAAATATGTAACCTCTCCTAGTTTTTGCAATTAATAGGGTACGTCTGCAATTAGCCTGACTTACAGAATGCTGCACTGTTGTCATTAAAAGATGTTTTGTGAAAGTGCTGCTGTTATTATGGAGGCTCAAGAGACCAATCCCTCCTAGAGGGCAAACAGTGGACTAGTAGAAAACAACAGCCATAAATCACGTTGTCAGGTAGCAGAGAGAACAGAAGTGAAATGCAGGCACATGAAGGCCATTCACTGTAAACACACCGCAGCAGAATCCTAGTCAGGATTTACCGAGCCTGTAATTAATTAAAGTTTCCTTCAAGCTAAATTTTTAATAAACAAGGATTTGTGCTGACAATGGAGAAATACAACACAATTTTATCAACTCACACTACACCACTTATTAACTCTCATTTTACTGCATTGGCTACTTTCTCAGAGGTTGCCTCCGTTTCAGTTGCAGCTCTCGGAATAATTTTAAACAGGTTAAAAGATGGTAACAGTTTTAATGTTGGACATACACTGTTTTGAGGCTGTGGCATTTCAGAATTTATGCTGCTTTTTAATTTTAATTCAAAATTCCTGTTTGGTTACATTCAGGCATGTTTACTCTTTTCCTCCCCTCAGGAAACACACATCAATGAAAGATTTCAGGGCATGCGCTGTTAAACTAAAGACAAAAAAAATCAGCTCGAGAGAGAGACAAATCCCACTAATGCCAAAAAATTACACAGCGGTTAACTAGCTTTGAAATTCTGAACTCTGGCCTTTTTAAGATGCTAATGAATAGAGGAAAACACGAGCAGACTGAGTAATTCTGATCTCGTAGTTCTGTTCAGCGCAGTATTTCAGGCCTTTGCAGTTCAAGGACAGTGTCTTCTCCTCACTTAGGGTGGTAAGGTGATTGCGCTGCCTTGTCTTCACTGAGACACATGCAATCTACAAAGACTGAAAGATTTTTGGCAACCATAATTTCTTAAGGCTGAAAACACTGATGATTTATTCTAAGGACCCATCTCCAAGCAAATGTTTTTCCTGTTGGTACCTCACTGTAGCTATGAAATTTGTTTCTGAAGCTACAAGAAGAGAACAATTTTTTTGACTGAGGCTTAAAGGAATGAGGTTTGTCTTTTTTAGGGTAGTCTTTAAAAAAATATTTAAGAAGAGCTGAACTCGTCTATAATTCTTTATGTATTAAAAATGGCAGTCAAACAGGAATGTGTTTGTTAAGACTGAACTTGGAGAACTACACTACTGTTAACTGCAAAATTCCTTGAACATTCAGATACCTTTAAGGCAAGTGTGAACTTACAGAGACAACATCTAGTCACTTACACAACCATTTATCACCTGTAAATCAAAAATGCATTCTTCAGCATGCTTATCACTATCTCATAACCAACCATTAAGCCCAGAGATCCATAAATTCAACCTATAAAACCTCTTTATTATTTCCCAGCCCCCAACAAAACAATCTAAATGGCACCATGAAAAGGCTTCAAAAGAACACATTGCAATGTTTAATAATGTAAAAGTCGCAATAAAAAGATCTAAAGCACTTACTACATATTTAACAAGAACGCTACTTCTCGTGGCACGATGCTAAGTTTATCTGAGTTTGGTCCTTAACTCTGAAATAGAGCCTTTGGCTAAAACAGAGGTTCCACATGCAGTCAAGCCAGTAACTGCAACCTCTGGAACTTATTTTCTTTACATGTGGACTGTGTACTCTAATGTGAGGGTAGAAGGTCTAAACTCTTCAGTGTGCAAAGTCAGCTTCAAGTAGACGGTTCCAGAGGTGCAAGCATCATGAACTGATAATTGCTTTTGAGGGCTGCATTCATTACGTGTCCAGCATTTGACCAGCGTAAGGGCATGCAAAGTTACAGTTTTACACGTGGTATGTGATTACCACCAGAAAAAATTGTTAGGCCCAGTGATACCTGTTCTAAAGATCAAGGCATTAAAAGTTCAGCCTTGATCTTAAAAAATGCAGCCTCCTTCCATATGTGATATATTAAACCAAGATAACCAAAGTTCATTTTGCCTGTTACCTTCTGTGAATTTACAAATGCTCATGTGCCATCAGAAGTTCTGAAACAGGAGAAGCTCTTTGTACAGAAGGCTTTTTTCCCCCTACACTTACAGAGCTTTCTTCCCCTTATCTTCTGTTCTATACCATAAATAAAACAGTATTTAGGATGCACTGCATTAGATTTACTTATTTATTTTCTCTCATCCTTAGAGGTCTCAGAGCTTTTGATATTTACAAGTCACTTTAAGCTACATCAGATTTGAGTGTAAACCACAGCAGGAGGTTAATAGCATAAGACAGCACCACAGGACGTAGTTAGCCACAAATGCTGTACCTGGTTCAGACTGAAAGCTGACTTCACGGAGGAAGACTACTACTTAAATCTGCCTCTTCCTACTGCTGCCCATTTAAGCACATCTATCATCATTGAAGATCATCTGTGATCACAAAGAATAATTAAAAAAGGCAAGTTTACATTTAATCCAAACGCCTTAAACTAGCTCTAAAATCTTGGAAACCTATCCAACTTGCTATTGTGTCTTCCTTCCATCATCTAAAACACCAGCCTGCCTTCCCTTGTGGATGGCTGAAGGCCTTTAAACCATTGGTTGTATTTCACAGGATGGAACTGGAACTTTACACTTCTCTCCCTTATTGCCAAAATTGTCTCCCATTGTGATTTTAGCAAAGGAATGAAGCAGTCTCTCTTTCAAAGCATCACATATGCTAAAAACCTACATAAATACTACAGCAGCAGAGAGATCTAAGCAGGATGTCTCAATGACTCATCTGAAACAGGCAGGCTGACTGTGGAGCTAATCCGGTGCTCAAAATTCAGGCTGTTATTTCATACTGTTATTGTGAAAAACCCAAAAGTTGCTTGCAAAGAAAACCAAAATGGACTGGGAAGAGAGGTTTTGCCAAGGTAATGATCGGCTGCCTCTCGCTTACCACACTGCTCAGAAGTCCTTTTGTAACACTAAAGGAACATCAGTAATGGAAAAGATGTGCAAGGTATTGCCTAGTATAAATGTATGATAAAATAACTGGAACTGATGTTTTCCCCACTTTTCACTGTCAAATATCCCTGTGGGCAAGTCTAAAGAAGTGGAAGACAGGATCTTGTATTGATGCTTGGGTTCCTTAGAAGGTAAAACAGAAAATACCTATTTATAAAAGCACATAATTTCACTAGTGCTGAAAGATTTATTATTTGCTAGTATTTGAGGATTCCTGACAATGTTATGGTACAGCTGCTGTCTCTTTCTGCTAGGAAATACTGTCTTGCCTTACGGGACACCTGCCATTGCTTATCTCTGTTCCTCCAAAATTCTCTTTCATTCGTTTTAAGATTAATCTTTCTCTGTTCCTTGGAAATCATTTGTCCCTCTTTCACAGGCCTGTACAGAACAAGCTGCAATACGTGTTTTATCATAAACAACTTACTGGCCAACTACTACGGGATAATGCATTTCCCCAAATCCTTTAAGAACTTTACCGTCTGATGCCCAGATAATGTGGGGGACAATTATGTTCTTCCACCAGTCTAGGTCATTCTAACCTGAATGAAGTGACCTTTCTCACCCCAAAGCAGGTAACAACGTTCAGTTCCCTAATCTCTTCTCCTGGCAAGTTAGCTGTCCAGCACAAAACTCTTCACTTGTTTAAAGCATACCGTTGCAAGTCTCAGAAGATGAGGTATTAGGGCAGAGTTAGAGAACTGAACCTATCTCAAGTGGTCATATGGTATCCAAATTCCTTAATTTTAAGTTATTGAGTAGGCATCTGTGGGAGGGCAACGGGAAGCCGAAGTCCTGAGAACCTGACTATTCCTGCAGATGGAAAAATCTGAGCCAGTCTGTCAATTACATTAATTAACAAATACCCCAAAATAAGTACACACAATTTAATTTAGGAAGACATGTGAGCATGTTATTGAGGTCAACAGACTTTTAAGGCTTGAAAACATACCAAGTTAATTGAATAACAGGAAGCTATTAGCACATTAGAGCACGCTACTCCTTTTTTTGCCATGTACTGCAACTGCATCAATTACCTCAGAATACATTTAATCAAATGCAATTAAGCACCATATCATTTTAATGTTATTACAAGAAATTCAATAAATATTTAAAGGTAAGTTTAAAAATGCTTTGCTGAAGTCTGAAAATCCATTTAAGCATCTGAGATATGAGGTCAAGAGAAAACAAAAATCTAAGTTTTCCTTGTTATGTCCCCGCAAGGTACCAAGGATTGAGATCTCAGACAAGTCAGGCTTGTCAACCTCAGAAACAGAGTAAGAACATGCATATTAAGAGACTGGTCAAGACAGAAAAGGCACAGCTTGAAAAAATTTGTTCAGGCAACATTAGTCTATATCATAGTACAAATGTACTCCGTGTCATCCCCTTTTTGTGCAGTTTCCTAACAAATCTATACAAGACAATGAACTTTTTCTTCTTTTAAAACAATCAAAGAGCACGAGTTTGCACAGAGACATTCAAGAACAGAGGATATTTTTATATATATTTTTATTTTTGGCTAGCGTAAGGAAGAAAAAAAAGAGAGAAATTTCTGGAATGACAAAGTGGGTATGGACCATTACCTTTTTGTCGGTGTAAGAACCTGTTTCATGGAGAATGGCAACTCTAAATGGAGGCCACCAAGTGTGGAATTCTTTTACCCACTGATGCATCACAGTAGCTGGACAAACAATCACTGTTGGACCCAATCCCTGGTACCTAAGTATTCAAGAAAAGAAACTTTAAGATTAAATAAATACTCTATATTAAGTGGCTCGTTAAAATATATAGGTATTAAAATGACACATTTTATAGGTCAAGTGGAATACGAGAACGATGGAAATAAACTGGCAGTTTGTTTTTCTGGAAGCTTGTTTTTTAAAGGAAGATGAAAGGGGTACTTCTGTAAGAACCTATCCAGTGAACAGTTAATGGATGCATCTATCAAGATGAACACAGAAATAGAAAAGCTCCAAATGATAAAGCATAAGGGAACTTCCTCCTGTGGTAATACAAATCAGGTTTGGGTGACTGCTGCTTCTATAAGAGAAAAGAAGTCATTAACAAACAACTATTTTATTACTTCTATTAAAAAGAATGTGCAGCTAGAGTGTTACAAATGGACTTACACACAGGTGTTCTGCTTCATATTGGTAATATACTGTACTATTATCACCATAATTTACCAACAAGACAAGGACTAAAGCAGCAGAATATTTCATCCATGAAGTTGAGGTCTGAGCTGGGCTTAAACTGTCTCATAAGTTTCTTATTCATAATCATATGATTGTTCCTGAGAATTACTGAGGACATTCGAGGCAAAGTCTTTCTGTATATTAAGCTCAGAGCTCCTCTTATAGTTAAGAAGAGAAAAATCTCTTGGACAACAGCTAAACAAGAAATATTACCGTCACAAATACCAAAAATCCCATGGGAAATATACCGAGCAGTGGTTACTAGTAGTTATTTTTCAAATATATTTGCTCTTTAAAAACCAACCAAAGTGACTTTGCAAACAAAGACAACAGTTAGGAGTTATCAGGTATCACGCACTGATCTGTGTCTGGCCGGCTATGTACCGTTCAAGTGGAAATACATAAACAGTTCAAAAGATCACTGCACACACTCAAGACCACATGCATACAGCAATAAAGAAGGATTTCCCAGACACCAGCAACACCCTGCTTCAAAAAAAACCCAACTGTTAATGCCTTCAGACACTGCCGACATTAAGAAATAATATTCTTTATTAAAAGCTTATACATATGCAGAATAACAACCTGGATGTTGCTTATCTCTTTCATTAGGAAGAAATATTACATAGCAACCTTACACAGTCTAATTAAAAAACTCCCAGCAAACAAAGAGGAAGTCAGAATTTGGAGATACAAAAAATAGCTTCAACTGTGCTACGAATTCAAATAACCACCGCTTCTGCTCTTAAAAATACCAACTGCTCTTAAGAGGATCTATAGCAAAAAGTCAACTTTCCCAGAACACACTGGTTTCTCACCCTGCATGGGTAGTAACAAATTCTCTCTGTTTATTCCCCTGGTCTGTATCAAACAAGCTCACATGCTGGGTTTATCCTTCCCCATCCCTCTCAGCTTACACAAAGAGTTCACACTTCCTTTGATCAATTTTCAGAAAATCCACTCACCCTCAACACAGTTGTGTGAAAAAAGCTTTAATTTATTTATATAGAGCCATCTAACTTCTTTCAGTACGTACCATTTCACAAAACTAAACAAACCACACACTTCTGCTTGCTACACTTAGGAGGCACCCTTCGTCCTCCTAAGCACTGCAACAGATTTGCTCTGCTGCCCATCCAATTCGTATCTGTTTCCCTTGGATAAAGATTACACCAATAACATTTCAAATCAAAGCCTTATTGGTGCCTCATACCAGGACACAAATACTGCCCTGTTCCTACCCCAAATGTACTGTAACGACGTATTCTGTCTCTTTTTCACAGCTGCACTGTACTAAAAACTTCTGGTCAATACCATACATAATCAACTTACTTCTGGTTTAGAAAACCCACATTCGCAGTGAGTATCCTTTTATTAGCTCTTATTTAATTGGATGCAATTAGAATTGCAAATACTATCTATTCCTGCAACTTACGACCAAGAAAAAGGAAGCTGTAGTCATATTATATGTATAATTTTGAAGTACTCAAAAAAATCAGCAGAGGAAAACATACTGCATTATATTCAACTCTATTGCCAAGCGCTGGCAAATCACGCCTTCAAAATGAAACTGAAATGACAACCAAATCCTAGTGAACATAAGAGAGCAGCAAGAGCAATAGAAATTTTCCGGGGCAATGGATTTTTATTTAAGTACGTACTATGGAAAGAAATCTCTCTGCCACCCATAGCAGAGATTGAGCCTTAATGTTTAACGTGTATGATTATAACTCAGTATCTTGAAGAATAAATAATCAGTGTATAAACTTCATGGCAAAATTTCTCATCTGATCTTTCAAATAGATGAAGAAAAGTCCGTAGCGAAGGGTAACATCTTTGTTAAATAAAATAATGTGTTTGGAAACAAGAAAACTTGTGAACCCCTAAGCCCTCCAACAGGTTTCAACAACAAATTTCAACCACGATACAGGCTAGAGATGGGTTACTTTAAGTTTGCTGCTGCTTTGCTTTTTCTTGTGAAGGGACTATTGGTCTGAAAGCTGCTTCCTGTTCCAACTGGTGGAGTCACCATCCCTGGATGTGTTTAAGGAGCGGGTAGACGAGGTACTTAAGGATATGGTTTAGGGGGTAGACAGGAACGGTTGGACATGATGATCTCAGAGGGCTTTTCCAACCGAGCGATTCTGTGATTCTGTGAACCACCCCAGTCTGTCTAACAAAAGACCTTTCCCCACTCTACAAATCTTCCTTCCCTTATACCATAACATCACCATAGCTGCAACACTTTTACCAGTACCTCATGTGACATGTGGCTTTCCCCAGCTGTATGGCTCAATAACTGTTAAAAGTGAGAGAACGTTTCAATTTTTTAACAGTTATACTCCATGTAACAAGTAGTTCAGGCTTCTTCAGAATCAGAAAACCCTGGAATCAGAAGCAGCTTGCAAAATGAAACTTCAACTCACCTTATTTTAAAGGATACTTTTGCGGAAAATTTCACCGATAGAAAATAAAGCTGAATATTTTGAGTATCAACAAAAGTGATCCTCCTGTCTTAACACTCAAGTGCCTCCAAATACAACAACCTTTGCAATTCTGCACAGGAGTGACAGTATTACATTACCTCCACTTTACAGAAGGCCAGCGGAGGCTGGGAACGCCTGGAGTACCAGATTCATACAGTAGTGTGCTAGCTCCATCTGCACATCAAGGTAATGAGATATGAGCTAGGCTGGAAGACATTTAAACATGCTGACAGCACAACTATACTCACTCCTAATGCCCACTTCTCAGCCAGACTGACCAGGTGGTCTTCTGTTTACCAGACTATGTGGCTAAGAAGACCATGCAATTACTATCATGATGGACTTGATGGCATGCACCAGCCAAAAAACGAAACTGAGCACGTGATCTCGCATGCAGAAAGAACACTACAACTTAGGTGTGCAACTATATTTTGGCCTTTTCAAAGCTTTATTGTAGCTTCACTGCAGTATCTTCGGTCTTAAGTTGCGATTCTCTCTCTGTCAAGAGATGTTCCTGAAGGATTTCCATCAACTCAGTGGTCCTCCAACTGGGGCAGAGAATGCACCTACACAAAATAATCTGTACAGTAGCATCCTGAAATCAGGTAGCCACATCAAAGCAAATCAACCGGCCTGAGTGATGAAGGACCTGGAGGTTTTTTTATATAAAGGCTTCTGTACGAAGCAACTAGAGAAGAGACAGTAATATTTTCCTCTTCAATGCATTATTTTGCAATTCATGTACATGCTGAATATAATTTTAACATGCCTCTATATAAAGTTAATTATTTTTGTTTAGTACAGTGCAAGTAGTAATTTACGCTAGGTAAACACGCCAACAGAACTAGAAAAATCAAGCATTGTTCATGCGTGCATTTGTAAACCCAAGGACAACAACAAGTATCTTTTCTGGTAATTTCACCTATGAAGAAGGAATTTACAGCACTGTTCAGTTACAAAAAAAGCGTAACATTTTGTAAGAAAGGCTAGTCACTCTAACATCGTTTTGAAAAGCAACAACAACAACAAAAAGCAGATGGAAATTCCTCTGTATAAATTAGTGTCTTTACTATTACTGCTATGTTTTTGGCCTGGTTAATTCCTTGCCGATCAGAAATGCTAACTTTCATTGCAAATCAGCTTGCTGCTTCCTGTAAAGCATTTACCTGGTGGCTTGCCAGAACAAATATTTCAATGTAAAATTTAATAAATGGAACTAGAGGTATTACATCTAATTTAAAATTCCATATTGTGTAAACTATTGATATTAATGTAACTGAGTTTGTAAACAATCCATTTGTGGAAGCTAACCTTAGACACTGCATTGACCCAAAATATCTAGCGTGGCTCATCTGCAAAATGAAGCATCAATGCCTGGAATTCATTAAAAGTGTTACATGTTTAATTTTTCCTGCCCTACAGCTCCATTGTCTCGTAAAATTTTTCCTTTGATGTCCCCCACTAAAAGAATTAAAGGAATATTGTAATTGAAATGTCATTAATAATTCACAGGACCCTCCTCCACCAGCAATACATCTGATGAAATATTAATTGAGCTCCACAGACTGTCAGTCTGCAGAGGAGCACTTGCCTGTAATTTGAACCACGAGTCCTGATCTTGCTGTAGCTCAGACCTGCCAAGAAGGCAATTATCTGGATGGTCTTGCCCAATCCCATCTCATCTCCCAGAATTCCTCCTGCCTGCTGGCAGTGCAATTCCCAGAGCCACCTAACACCTGTCTGCTGGTACCTAAAACAAGGAAAAAGAAGATGGCAAATGTTTGATAATACAGAACGTAACAAAAAGTAGTCATGAATTAATAATTTGGCAAGGTTCATCCACTAGTTACAGCAACATGCTGGATGTGTGTTTTACATGAGTGCTGTATTTACTAGGTCATACATTTTTGATGCGCTCAGACATTACACGTGACTTTCATTTTTTATGCAACACTAAAACATTTCTAATTAAACTCATAGTCATGGTAATTAGAGAGTATTTTATTTCATGTATATTTTAAGTGTTAAAAGCGACCTGGAAAGCTACTCTAACAAAGCATTACCTTTTCTACATGTGTCTAGTAAATGATATAATTTGGAACATATACCTTGAACTGAAGGAAAAGCTTGACTCGTACACTCCACTGTGAAAACTGATCACATCTGCCAAAGCATTCTTTCTTTCTACATAAATTCATTAACGACATTTAGTTTCTTTCAATGAAGAAGAAAAGCCAACAAGGCAAAATAGTCTCGAAGGCAAAACAATAGAAACTATTCCAGTGAATGGGCTGCAGCAGAGCGTTATCATGTAAGAGTATCAGGGCAGTTCCTACTCCGAGTCATTCACTGGAATTTGCAGAAGCAAGAATAAATAAAAACACATTCCAGTTAAAAGAGGCAGACTAGAAAGTAAGACTTGCAATGGCAAGCTAAAAAGGTGGAGGTAAGATGCTGGACTAGGACTCACTTTAAGATGTGCTTTTTTTATGACATGAAATAGCGAGAGCAGTAGGAGTGACACACCACATACGTGGGTTAGATTGAAACCAAACCAGAAATCAATGATGAAACAGCATAGTTAAATGACAATCTAAAAAATACACTTTTCAGCACTTCTGTGTCTTGTAACTTAGAGGAAGAACAAGATTACTGATATAATTTTCTTGATTGCATGCAGTCCTGAATGTAGAGCACTCTTTTTTTCCCCTCTTTTTGGTAAAAAAGGGATTATTCACTTTAGGGCATTGTCTTGTGTACACTTCAAAATCTTCTTTCATTCTTTGAACAAATAATATGTAGGACTACTGACAGCCAACGACACTGGTGTCTTAAAAGTACTATTAAAAATCAATTTATGAAGAGTTCTGTATGGATTCAGAGAATGCTAAAACGGAGACAAACGGCTTGAGTAGTTAGAAAAAGATGATCAAAGAACACATCTAATGGTTCAGACACCATGCTCTCTGCTGGTGTCTCAAAAGCATTATACTAAGAAGCCCTTAAAAACCCCCTTTTATTAGAAATTAATTCAGCTTAAAAATGCAGCAATCTAAAAACAACTATGAAATGGCTTGCAGAATTAGCTGTAATTGGGTTAAGATGCCAATATTCCTACATTTTAAGAAGACAAACCATTTTCTGACTGAAATATTAAAGAATTGGAGAGAACCCTCATTCCAGTCAGAAGCTGCTCCCCCAGACTAATGTCCAGCACGTCTCTTCAGGAGACATCCACTCAAGAACTTCCTGGCACTATTTTGTATTATTTCTTATGATTACACACAGTGCTTAAAAGCGAGCTTCATTTATAAGCAACTTTCTCCCTCTTCCCGCTTCTCCTGAGAAAGTTTCAGAGCAGAGAACAAAGTCTGTGAAAAATTCTGCTCCAAGTTTATCTAAAAATGGAAAATACGTAGGTGCTTGCTTTGTATAACCATACAAACATGCAATAATTGCGACCGTACAAAAGTTGAAATAAAAAACCTCCCCCCCATAATTTTTTATGGTTATACAGAGAGGTAATAAATTGTCTTTAATCATACGCTTTCATTGCACTAATTTTTATGTTTTGGCTTTTTTTTTTTTTTACTCCAAAAATACTGTAGAAGTAAAATAAAAGTGTTGCCTGCTGTTCCAAAAGAGTTGTTATGTTTGGACTGTATTTCACATGAGCAATCATGCTGTGATGCATCCTTTAAAACTCACCACAGTAACCAGCAGAGCTTAGCTGAGACAAAACTGCATTTCAGACCTATCAGGGAAATCACACACCAAAAGCAAATAATGAAGCAACCCGGTTTCTTGTTTACACAGACAGCATCCTCCAGCCAGGATAAGGCAACGTTTGCACATCAGCCTTGCTCACCATGTTTGGTTTTGTTTCACAGCAGCAGCATCACTATTCTTGCTGAATATTCCTCAAAGCAGACAAGTATCCAGGAAAGAAACAGACTGGCCACTTCAACGGGCTTACTAAAGAGTGAACTTAAGAGTCTACTATTTCTAGTGTGTGCTAAGTTCTTTGAAATTCAATTCGAGTATGCAGGCAGATAACTTCCAGTGTACTGCAATATAGTATATCATTGGGTTAGTTTTCTACTGAACTTGCTCAGAACTCAAAGTTTAATGCCTATTGACCACGGGCCTTCCTGCACTAGAGATTTCAGCATTTAAGTTCCAAGTCAGACGAATCGTTGAACTAAATTGATCTTTCTAACCACTTAAGAAGTTTTGCCAACTGACTCATGCTTGCAGGGATACCCTTCATTAGTGAGGCTGATCTCTAAGATTAATTTTCAGTTGTCTGCCTTATTTCAACTCCCTTCGGGTTGCTCAGACCACACATCCGTTCTCAGGATGATTACTTCTACAGTACCTTTGCATAAACAACTGGAGACCACATATTGGCTGTGTATGGTCCTGGCAACCAAGTCAAATTCAGTTCCATTTCAGAGCTAGTGCTTGCCTTCTGAGGAACTGCAGGACAACGGGAATAATTTCTTTGAGGTTAAGACTAAGTGGGCCTGTTGGAAGGGATAGCATGCATGTCCTTTATCAACCAGGGCTTTCTACTATGCTAATTATAAGGTTTTAGAGAGTTAGCTTTTGAAAGAAGATGTTTTCTGTGCTGTGTGAAATCTTGCCAACAAAAATGAATTCAGGCCTATTATGAAGAAAAGTTAAGGGAGAGATTATGGATGAAGTTAACTTGTCAGCTGCTACTTTGTTTGGGTTGCCTTTTCTAAACAGCTTTTTGAGATGAACTTGAAAGCGGCACTGGGCACGATAGTCTAAAAAAAATGAAATGGAAAGCAGTCACGTCCAAATCTGTAATCCAGAATGATCTGTAGAGCGTTTTCCATCTACAAAAGGAATTCAAAATGCACTCTCCATATTTCAAAATTTTACTGGGCAAAATGTACGAGACTATTTTGTAATACGTAGTGTAAGTAGTTACTTTGAGTATTTATATTTAAATAAAGAGTTGTCTGTATTTTTCACTGGCAGAAAATTTCACTCCACCCAATCATAGAAACATCTGCATTTCTTGTTTTCCTTTATCACAACTTGCCAACACCTTATGCTTCAAAGTATCCTACTGCTTCCCACCTGAATTAAAAGCAAGCATTTACCAATAAAAGAAAGCATTTATAAAAATAGTCAAGAAGAGCTTCTCAATTCATCGTTTAGATAACACACATTCACAATATTCACATCAGCCAGTTATCATCTGTACTGTCACGTAACTACGTTTTGTCATTGTAATAAATTGTTTTCTTTGAAGTTTGATCCTGGGGCCTTTTGTAAAGAAATAATCCTACAGAAAGCACTGAAGTAAAGGTTGAAGCATCATTCACTGAAATAAAAGTTACAGCAAAAGGCATAGAGAAATCACCATGACAATTACTACTACTATTATTAGCAGCATAAAGTAGCATAATATTAAAATGAAGTATACATTGCATACTTAAAAAGCTTTTTGAAGAGAAATCCTGGTACTTTGAAACCCTCTTCAAATTCAGTGTCACTTTCTTCAGAAAGTTCCTCAGCTGTTTGGTGTTGTTTGTCCTTCAGACGTTCTTTTTGCCACCTCCTAGAGTGACACAAGGAGTTAACATTCAGTTATTGCACAAAAAAGACACTTATATGAAAACCACACTGGATTTTCAATCAGGTAAGAACCCAACAAAACCGCATTCTCTGATGTCATGATTTAAACAGCAATCCTTTGGGGGAGAGAATTATACAAGTGAATGCTCAAAATATCTGACATATTAAAAGGTACATGCAATTCTGACTATTTAGTTATAAGCCTTCAGAGTTTTATAGCTAGTTACAAATTTCTATAGACACAAATGCTAATATAATGGAATCAACAGTTTGCACCATCAAAAAAGTCTGGCTACATAAAATTCCTAAGCCTCAACAAAAAACCCCACAGAAATATAAATAAAGCTTAGGTACTTCAAAGCTATTTTATTAATTTAGCCGAATACTTAAATAACTTCTTTCACTTAGAGAAGTATGCAGCAGCGTATATAATCTTACACAGAAGACTCAGCTGGAAACATCAACATCCCTGGGGTGACATGCTCTAAACCTGTTAAGCAGTTAAGAGAATGAGTTATTTTTGATTTTGAAATTAAGAATGATCTGTGGTCTGCAGCCTAATCTTACCTGGACTCTAGGCAGCTTAGAGAATTATCTTCCTGTCACATCATTGCCCCCCCCCTCTTTCGAAAAAGTATCGAAGGATCTTCAACATCCAAGGAAATCATGGGCTTGTGTTTTAGTGGCCCAAAACCACTTAGGAATGGTAAGGTGTATGCTACTGCTAGCTGGGTACGTACCAACCGACCAACAGCACTTCACTGACAACTGGGGTTTTGCTGGACTGCAGGCACACTGAAAGTGGTGTACAAACTGACAAAATCCCTACAGCAAATGGCAAGCTACAGAAGAGATGAAACGCATCCTTGTGTCACTGTTCTAGCACAAAAGCAGCCATATTTCTTCTCATAATAAGGCTGAAGGAGAAGGAAACTGCATACTCTAGAAGTACCTGAAATACAAAACATGAAGACTACAATTGTTCAGGTCTCCAAGAACTATAAATAGCAGTAATGGGATAAAAAGCCAACGGAAGATTCAGACAAAAAATGAGTTAAGCCGCCTAGTACTGAAATCTATTGCATTAACTGACAAACAGCCTCCTGAGCGAGATGCTGGAAAACTGATCTGTCCAATCTTTTAACTCTACATTGAAGAAGCTCTGGAGAAGGCAGTCTCGAACAGCCCTGCAGTAACTGGATGGGGTAGGACTTAACAAGACACACTAAAAAACTAACCACGACAACACCATGCCGGACAGGTTCAGAGAGCCAGCTTCACTGGGATAGATTTTGATCTCTTAAGGCAGGAAGTCTTCAGAAGTAAAAATTATGATGGAGGGGAAAAGCAGCATACGCAGGGGAAAAAGAAACAAGATGGACAAAGAAAGTCTTCAGTTTTCTGAATAAAAACTGTTGAGTTGCTAATGTTTATTATGGGATTCTTATTTCGTTATATGAAATAATGTAGCAAAAAAGAACTTACTGAAAAAAAGCATAAAAAGCATCAACGTTTTCCCCACAAATACTTTTATATATCCATCCTTACACAGGAATGGAAATCTTTGAGTTAGACTGGCAGTCTGTTAAATGTTTGATTTAGGAAAATAACATTCGTGCTCTGGGATCCAGCAGGCAGAGATGATACATTCCAGAGGCACAGCATAAAGATGCATTTATTTTTGCTCAGTACTACCACATTGTGCTATTAGTCAATTATTCTCCTGATTTCTACAGAAAGATTCAAACCGACAGACACTGACAGTCACTGCTCCATGCTGTGTCATTGCTGGAACTGAGATATGCCTGAACTCGACTGTTTTATCTGACTGGGTTATGACAAGACTCGAACGAAGGAAGAAAACTCCCAGCCAACACTGGAGACTCGGTCTCCCTTGGGAAGAAACAGATTGCCCTCTAGTGTACACCAGAAAGACTGATCCAGAAACATTTCTGAAATGAGCTCACGGATGTCCAGGAATTTAGGCACTTCACCTCAACATAATTACTGTATTCTTGCAAGGAGTGTGATCCATGTTGGGATTTCTCTCCAATTTATTAGACAACTAGAAAATACCTATGTCTAGAATTTGAACTAATAAATCCTGTACTTAATTTTCCTAAAGATAAGTTTATTTTATAGACACTTTACCTGTTACTTTACTGAAGTGTGTAATAACACAAGTTGTAGCGCTGAAGGCTCTGGTACTTCATCTCTTCCAAAGATCTGGAAGCTTCTTTTGCCATCAATTATGAGTTTAAAGAAAAAGCTGCTACTTGTTGTTACCACTAACAACTTTCAAAGTTTGAAGCAGCTATTCAGTTTTTGAAAGGTTGTGAACTTAATTTCAGACTCTCTATTAAGATATTCTACACTAAAACTTCATTACTTAAAAAAAGGTAAACATGTAAATGGCCGATGCAATGGGAGGGCAACCACTGCTTGCTAGACCAGATCAGTCAGTTGGTCAGTCTGGTCTTCCACCTTTCCCCAGAAGTCAAACTTTGGATGGAGAAACAGCAGTAGCTCATAGCTGAGTTAACTACACAGTAACACATTACCATCAGGTCAATATGTTCCTTATGAACCTCAGTTAAACATCATTAGTATGCCTAAACAATCAGCAAATGCAGGTTTTGCTGTATTACCAGGGTCTGTTTAAAAGAAAAGCATGACCTTTGAGAAATGTATTTTATGTTGTCCATGCCCACCGACATAAATACAATTTTATCCTGAAAGTGCAGTATGAAAGCCATATATCATACAATTAAATCTTTCTCAGTATAAGAATGTATTCAGATACTAAGCCCATTTCCCACTTACTGCAATACCCTAGAAAGAAATTCTGACTCCAAAACAGTACTGAGCACAATTCGATTTGAAAAAAAACCCCCACAAATACAGTCAGGAATTGAGCTGAGTGTTTAATACAGTTTGCATTTGTGAATCACAGTAAGTTTTCTATTTTGGACAGCTAAGAATCCCTTACAGATTATTCCAATTTGCTAAATTGAAGCATTCCGCATTACTTTTCTGATCTAACTTTTTATGGTCTATACGGGTAGATTTACTTGGTACGTCCTAAGAGATCAAATACACGCAGTTAGTACCACAAATCTCTCTAAGTAAGTTAAGACTGATGTAGACAATTACACACTTGAGCTTAGAATGAAAGGTGTACTCAGCAAGTGAGCCAAAATACATCTCCATTTGTGTCTTGGCTTTGTCATTTTAAAGAGCAGTTAGGATGCTCTAAGAATGCATCTTTCAGGAAAGGTAACATTTAATCCTTTTTTAATTTATAACTTTGAAACATCAAAAGATTCAGTGACTCAGATACTTCAAAGAGAGCCAGCACATGAAAATGGATCCAATTGAGAAAACCAACCTATTTTTAAGTGAATTTTAATTTTTGTTTGACTCTTTGTATCAACTGCTTTGTGCACTGAGAGCCACAACTCCCAGCTACTCAGCTGCTTGGATGCCAGCTGTGAGACACAGAAAGCAGCAGCTTTCCTAGACTTGCCTCTGAGCACTTGACAGCAACTGAAGAATTCCAACAACTGTACTCCACAAACCACACAGAATACACAAAAAACCACAGATACGGCATTTATCTCCCATAACATGACATGCAATTCCCTTCTTAAAGCAACAGGCAGATACACACTGACAACTGCAAGAGGAAGAGTTACCGTAAGAGTGCCAATTTTTTGTTTCATTTTGACTCTACGCTATCACCTTATGCAGGTACTGTATTAGTGATGTCAATAACGTAGCACATTAACTACATATACTATAAGCAGCAAAAATTACTTGGTTATACTTATGCTTTGCATTTAAATACATGCAAAGGAAAACTTTAATATGCCAAATAAAAAACCTCTTGCTAAGTTGCAGTTTCAACATCTGCAGAGTCTTGAAAATAATACAAGAAAACGATGCAGCAGTTTTGCTGCTCAGAACACAGAAAAGGTTTATTCCTGATGCATTTATTATGCATACGAGGTTACTTTTATTTTGTGATTCTAGGCAAAAGAAGTTGAAAAGAACTGCATTTTCACTTATTCCATAGTTGTCAAAGAAACTGTCTCTGCCATGACCTGGCCATTCCACCAAGCAAGAGGCAACAGGTTAAGATTCCACCAGCAGCAATCTTGAACATTTTGAGGCCAAGATCGTCACTGTTGAATACGGCAAAATGTCACTCGATAACGTACCTGAGGATGGGGATCAAGTCTCTGGGATCTTCAGCACCAGCCAAGAGACTGATTAACTAATTCCCTAGGTTCGGCTGCTAATGGGGACAGTTTGGAGTGATGATATGCTACTTTTCACTGACTCTTAAACTTTTAGTTAGATGGTAACCTACTTATTTACCTAACTCTCCATAACCTTGATGCTTCCTTGCTACTGTTCATTTTTCTTGCAAGCCATGATTCACCTTTGATGTTAACCTTTTCAGAACAGAAGATTTTCCCCCTCTGTGTCTGCACAGCAACACAGCTCCAGTAACAGTAACTGGAGAAAGGCAAGACGCACACAAGGGGAAAGAACTGAAATCTGTGATAGTGTGAGCTGAATCCTGCATAGCTAACTTTTACTTTTCACATTCCCCTGGGCACATCTTGCTTTGACGGACCGGGCTGACCACTGCAAACAGCCTTCAGAAGGAAGGGCAAGAGCCAGAAGGAAAGAGCCGGGTGCTCTCCCACTAGCCACGTTTATGGCAGATAACATCAGCTCCTGTGCTGAAAACAGACTTGTTCTAGAGATGCTTTGCAGTCCCACAGTTAGCTAATTATCATGCTTTAACAACATCACAGCATTTTCCCCTTGACACAGCCCAATCTCTTCAAGTCCCATCTCTGAAAAGTTTTAATGTAAAGTAAACTCATTTTCAATCTTTAAGAGTGTAGGATTGTATTCGGTGCCAAGCACAAGACTGGATGTTTGGAAGACTAAAGCTATCCTAGAGGATTTTCCCTTGCCTTTCTCAGGGGTAAAACGTACCATAATCTCACCCATTCGTTAGCATTCAAAAGTAAAACTGACACGAAACAAGACATAAATGGAAGCAAATGACAGCATTTCTATAGCATTCTTAATATGTTTCTTAATTCACTACATTTTATTTTCTCGTGGCATTTCCCATAATGAAGATTACCTGGGAGTGTCAACATAAAAACGTCAATGTGGACAGCTGCAGCTTAACAGCCACAATAACCGTAGCTATGAAATTTTTAAGAGATGTAGTGTTTTGGTAGCAATTACAGTTATTGATATTTCTAAAATTCATTAAGGCTTTTATTGTAGCTCCAGTAACCAAAAGAAATGTAGTCTACGATATGACTTTGCTAAGGATAAATTGTCACAATCTTAACGTTATTAAAAAACGTGTTTGAATGAATTCAAACTGTAAGTCATATTAAAACTTTCAATCAAAATAAATTACTCTTGATGAAAACTGAATTAAAAATGATTTAATATTGGTCTAATTTAAACGTGACGAGTACAGTTCTATTCAATAAAATAGTAAATATTTTACCAATTAAGTACAATTAATTTTTGTCAATGCATCCAATCAAAAAACATTTCTTTTTGACCTTTTGGACACTGTTCAGATTAGCCTCTTGCTGAAATCTTCTGTTCAAGAGCAATAAACTATGCTTTAACTTTGAAAAGCAGCATCCTGGGATTGCAAACCTACTGCCTCATATCAGCTCCTAACCTGGGATGTGAGAGTGAAGTTGGGCTCTTCCTACCTGAGGCTTTGTTACCAGTACTTCTATAACCATGAGCATCTCTGCCATCAGAAGAGACCTCTTCCTCCACAGTAACTCAGACTCTCAGCACAGGAAGAGATGGTGTTTATACCTCTACTTCTTGACCCCTTCTCTGATACAACTCCATTTAAATCTGTAAGATTTTTCTATTTCCATAGAAGAAGAATTCCAACTCCTAAGAATTATCAAAGTTCCTATGCTAGGCTTTTTCATCCTTCACTATCTAATAGCTATTTTTCCTTTCACTCTTGAGTAGCCGTTTTCAAGTTGGAACTCTTGATTTTCTAGAGGATTGTAAAGCTACTTGAAGGACATTCACTAAAGGGAATTAATTAAAAGTAAGCACGCTATCAACAAGCTGAAGTTCATTATATGGAGCTCAACACTGATACTAGAAAAGAGACAACATCCCAATGGTTAGAGAACAATTAAAACCAACCAACTACCTTAGTGATGCTGTTCTTTCGAGCCCCAGTATGTGCAGAAACGTCTCTTAACTTCACTGGCATGTCTAGTTAGCATTTTAACAGCTGAATAAAATACATGTCATTTCCTTGCCCCTTCAAAATGTTTTCCAGGCAGTTGTGAAAAGATCACCACTGGTCAGTCTTTTTGTTAGGAGCTCAACAGCTAAGATACAGCAAACGTCTCAACAATACATTGTAGCTACAGAGACCATTAGCACCCAAGTTATACAAACTTCATAAATCACAGATTAGCACAAGGCGTTGCAGCTGATGTTTTCAAAAATACCTTGTGTTCTTAGCTGTATTTCCCCACCTAACACACTAGTTTATTTAACAGAAGATGCTCATACTCCTTAGAAACCTTAACTCGGTTTACAACATTACATGTGTTTACATCACAGCAACAGAAAACACCAGTACTATCACCACTGCCACTATCTCTTTAGGTAAGGATGCTTTTACCCTCACTCTCATCACAAACAGAGAGGAAAATCACTGTCAAACGGAGTAGCTCTTTTTTGACTTGACTAACAGCAGTATAAATGGCCTGTTTGTATTGCTTATGTCTTCTCATATAAGTTATGCAAGAGGTATCATATGCTAACAATCAAATAACACAGATATTGTCCTTTCCAGTATAATCTTTTTACAAGTTTAAATTTGAAAGATCCTTTTAATATTGATTTTCAAATAAACCTGTTAGCCATATAAACTATAAGTAATTGCCTCAGATTTCAACAAACTGACAGATTCTACAAATATAGCATGGAAGTATAATTCATTCAAAGAATTTCTTTAGGACTAGTAAAGTATTTACAGCTGAAAACTAAGCACCATCCCAAACCCCAGATTTCTCTCACTGGAAAGTGCCATCACTCTGTCTGCTCTGGAATTTTGCCTGTCAAACAGAAGATATCATATTTTAGTGGTTTTTTTGAAAGGCAGGTATATAATCTACAGACAAAAGCAGTACTAGAGATGCCAAATAATATGATCTTTTACGTATACAATTCTGGGCACATTCACAGTTCTGCAAATAATACACACACGCTCTGAAACACAAACAGCTCATTAGTGAGGGACCTACACCAATCAAAAAATCTAACAGCAAAGCCCTTGTCAGTGAGAGGTATGTCTGTTTCCTTTTGAAGGTTACTATCACTCTGACTCTCTTTTCCTTACTTTGATTCCCGGCAGTGCATTTCACATCTGTTAACATTACTAATAACAATGTCTAGGACTAACCTTACTCTCTGTTTATAATAGTCTTCATCTCCATCATCTCTCCATCTCTTTACTTTGCGCTTCCCCAGCATCTGCTCTTCTTCCTCAGAGCTTGGAAAGAAGTCAGCATCCTCTTCAGCTTCTTTAAGATCTCTCTTCACCACATATTTTCTTTTTCTCGACAACTTCCTGAGTTCATAATCAGAATCATTCTCAGCATGACAAGATGCCTGCTCTTCCTCTTCCACTGCTTCTGGATCAAAGAGCTCTTCGTCAGGTACATACTCAGACTCTTCACTATCATCCTCCTGTCCATGCCTGCTCTTCTTAGTCTCAAAATACTTCTTTTCTTTTGGAATTGTTGCCTTTGACTGAATCTGAAGGGCATGCTTCCGAAGTTTTCTCATGTTTTTTTTTAAGCGCTTATCCGTTTTTGACAGGGCTTTACCCTTTTTTTCTTTTGTTGTAGATGCAGGAGCTACGCACTGAACATTTTTGGCTTGCGCTTTCTTCTTTGCTCCTTTGCGAAGAGATAACTTCTTTCTTTCAGATGACAGCTTAGCTTGGTCTGCTAAGTACTTCTCAAAATCAGATGCCTCATTGAGCATTAATCGTTGTGTCTTCCTCTCTGGCTTCTGAGGTATTTTAGTTCCAAATGGAGTCATCTGGCCTGTACGAACAAGCTCTTCCCACTCTGTTTCCTGAACAGGCATAAGCATACTGCCAAGACATGATGGACCAGGTTCTACAACAAAAATCAGAACATCCAGCACGCCTTTAACATCTGCTGAATAACTCAAACACAGTAACAAGGGTGTTCTGTTTCACCATCCCCCATTTTTATATACATTCAGTCCAGTTGTTATATACAACTTGTAAGGCCAAATGATCATCACACAAAATATTTGAAGTTCAAAAACCGCAAAACCCAACAGAAGGCCAAAAAAAGTTAGACTTTTACTTCAAACTACTTCTCAAGTGTCGCATAGGAAACATCACACAAACGATCAAAATGCAAATGCTTAAGCACACAGCAGCCCAAACAGCCATAAAATTACAGTCCCCCATGGCACACCAACTCCGATGTGCTCCCTATGCTGTCAATTCAACCCATGTCACCATGTTCAGTGCAAGAAACCCTTAATGTTGTCCATTTCTATTTTATTATTGATTTTTCAGTTCTATTAGTAAGCTTGAAATGTGACATTCCCATTACCATACCTGACATTCCCATCACCATACCAGGTCAGACACAAAACTTTAAAAACATAAGACTGTCTTCCCATATGCCTCAAAAAAGCCAAAACCAAACAAACCAAAACAACAGAATGAAAACAAATCCATCTTCCTACTCTACAACACTGTGAGGATTACAACATTAAAAGTCAGATTGGCTGCACAGAATGCTGCCATAGAAGAGCACACACAGTTACTACACATATAAACAATCCACAATTGGTGTTGGAAGCCAAAGAGGAGGAAAAAGTCCTTGAATTCAGGAAGATGAAGAGGAACTAGGTGATCTTTAAGGCCTCTTCCAGTCCAATCCATTCTATGATTCCATTACTCTAATTCCAGCCTGAAATATATTTTTAGGGTTCACAATTTCAAAATAGCTGTAGCAGAACTGTCAGCATGACACGCTACTACACATGGCCCCATTTAAAGCACGGTATTTATCACCAAAAACATGTTTAACAAGTAACGATGATGCGTCAGGCATGAAACTCCTCCCTCTCCACCCCCTCAGTTTCCCAAACTGCTGGAACTGCTCAACTCCATTTCTTCTGCCTTGGGCTTTATTTACTGCCTTGTTACACTTCACCACACTGAGTGCTTGCGTTTTACTGCATGAACCTATTCAAAGAAAAAAGGATTAAAGACGCTTTTCTACTAAGAAAAATTCACTGAGGCTTTGACTCCTGTAAGTTTTGTTGAATGAGGAGAGAAGCATGAAGTCAGTGAGGTGCAGAATCCACTCCAGCCACATCTGGAATGGACAAATGGCGCAAAGAGTTTACACCTCTGCAAACAGCAATATAACCCAAAGGTGATATGTGGATGTCAGTGGGGTCCAAACTTGTCCTGCAGAGTACTGCAGATTAGTGACTGTGGTCGAGACACAGCCAAGCTGGTGTTACAAAGTACAAGCTCAGTTTGCAGACAGCAGTGAGAAAGCATACCTAGTGCAAAGCAGAACATTTGTTCTCTCAGTGTTTTCAAGAAGCCTACTTAAAAAAATAATAATAATAAAAAAAAAATCACAGTGCAGTCTGAAAGACAGAAGCACTTCCCCCCTCAATTTCTAGTGATACTTCCCAACAGTAAGGAAAACCAATTTTGTTAATGCTGATTGATAGCTTCCAGCATATAAAATGTAATTCAATCATGATGTTAGTCATCTTTATCAAATTAGCTGTGAAAAAATGTTCAGATTTCCAATTTATTAAGCCCAATACTCTAATGTGCCTCAGCCATCCCTACTGAGTTGAACACAGATTAACAACCATTTTTGAAAACTTCCCACATGAATACGCCAAGATCTGCAATTCTGCAGGTGCACAGAATAAGCATTCTTCACTCTCCTTGAAGGCAAACCACTGAAATTTATTTCCTTACTGGCAAAGACCTTGCAAACTAGCTTCGAACAAAAAGAGGTATTTCAGCAAAGTAGAACAGAACTTTCAGCCTTTTCCCGTACCTTCATCATCCTCAAATTCTATCTCATGTACTTTATCAAGAGCCTCTGTTCCACCAATAATTGCTTGGAGACGCTTTTGCTTCGCTTTGATCTTCTTTAGCTGTTGCTCCTGGAATGACAAGCAGATACGTAGTTTAATTTTTAATCCAGTTCATAAAATTGCTATCCTTGTAAACGAGACTTCAATGGCTGTATTTTGAAGTATCTTCCACGAGAATCTCACATTCCAATGTTCACAGTACCCCACTTGAAACAAAAAAGTGCAAAAAACATCACCAAAATACCTGTAGGGCTCCGACCCACAGAACACACACAGTTTTGTGTAAGCAATCATGATACACATACAGCAAGATCCAACTGTTTATACACACAAATTTCACAGGCACGTTGTGGATTTTTATGTACAACTTCTGAGGTAATTTTATGAATGTGTTGGTTCTGGCGAAGGAAGCCCATCAAGCAGATCAGTGAGGTACACAGAGAACACCAAGATTCGTTTCTGATTTGAAAGACCGGGTTAATGGTTACTAAGCCACTAAAACCACCTGTAAGATTTATTTATCAACCCAGAAATTCTGGAATGTTTGGTTAGAAAGAAACTGAAATTACACAGCAGTCCATCATCCCAATGTACGTTTATACACAGCTCATTGAGGAGTGGTCACACCGGATTTAACAGCAAGAACTACAAAGTGAAATTACTTTAAAAATAAGTGAAAAAAATCAACAGTAGAGAGGCTCTAACAAGTACAGTTCACTACTGCCACGAAAAGAATTTGCAGGCAGCTCTTCCGTTACACCTTTTCTCTGACTGTGATATCCTCAACTCTGTATTTACTGGTGATGCTGTGATTCCTTGGTGTTGCCAACTTTCATTTATGAAACAAGAAATTCCAAACAGTAAAACAAAGACATAGGCAATGTAGCTTTCCACATTTGTAACTCCACTCTTGGGAAGTATTTCCTTACCTAGAAAAGCACATACTTCACTAAAAATCAAGTTGATGACTAAATGAGCAATTTTTTTCTTTGTTTCTGTTGAAGAACAGTTCACTAGCCTGCTTATGTCTTCACATAGCACATTTCAAACCACAAAAGGTAAATATATAGATGTACTTTACAATATATTATCTTCTGTGTATGCACTTTTATCCTTGCCACCAAAGTACTTTGTATAATAAAACACTCCCTGTATGACAGCTCTATGGAAATAGCTGTCTTGTACCAGTCATTAATTTCCCATCTGTCTCAATAAGGGAAGAATTAAGTCTTCTTTAACAATTTTTTTAAATATGACAAAAGGAAGAGTACTAAAAGAGACTTCTCCATGCAAAAAGTAGCTCAAGACCAGCTCTAAATACACTGCCTGCCTCCGTACAGCCTCCAAAACACTCTTGAGGTTATTAGGACCACTTTTACAGATTGTAGTCCTTATACAGGGATTTATTCTTACACTTCAAGGACTGTTAGAGATGACTAACAATGATCTCCCAACGAGGTTTCAACTTCCCCTTGCAATTAACACTTGCATAAACTGCTTTAAGTAATACACAAACAAGCAAAATACAGTGTCAATTACATGATCACTCTAGTGGTAAGTCTGGTTTAATCTATTTCTTCCCACTACTTCCAGCTACTTGTTCCTAGTCCTGTGCCACTGTTCAATACCAGCCCCCTCACTCTCTTAACTGGCCAAATTGTGAGCAGTGTGATCCCAGTTGCTGAAATGATCAAAGTTAACAAACAAACGACTGAATGAGTCAGTGGCAAACGGCCTGAGACTGGGCAGAGGTGTCTGAGGGCAAAGGACAGTAAATTTTTTTCAGTCAGGTTTATCATTAGAGAAAATATTAGGGTGCATTTCCATCAGACAGTGAGCTGATCTAAGTGCTACATTCCTGACCACGAGAAGTTTCCCTTTTCTCCAATCTCCTCCCTATTCATAGCTGCATAGGCCCACTGTTTACATTACCTTTACACCTGCTAGATTGCTCTACAAGCTCCTTTAACTTCCTACTCTGGCAGGAGAAAGCTGGAGCACTTTCTGCTAAATCAGTGAGTTAAAATGGCTCACAGCAAGGAATGATGTGTACTGGTCCAAGAAAGATACAGACAACGAGAGAGCATTAAGAAAAGGAAGGTAGGGAATGAAAACCATGAGAGCTGAGATTCCAGTTAACCATTGAATTGTGCCCTATCAATGCTTTGCTAATTCTCCAAATACTACTGGGAGGGAAAGCTCTCACTTTCATGTCTTTAAATTAGTTGTTTACATTTTTGGTAGAAAATTCAACCATTTAAGAGGGAAGGTACAGAAACTGCAGGCTAACTCTGTACTAAATAATTAGGCAAGAATTGTATCCCAGAATCCAAACCTTGAGCCAAAGTACAAGCGAAGTACAGCCAGCGGGAAATTAATGCAATCCAATCACCTTGTTATATTTTTGCCGTTTTACAGAATCTAGTTTTCTGTTTATATCTTTGCTGTCAGCAGCTTGAGGTGAAAGTTGCTCAATAATTTTATTTATTTGTTTCAAAGATGTTGTGCATGATCTGAAAAAAATAAAAAGATGACAAAGTACCAGTCAACTCTAGGAAGAAAAACAGCACATTCTCAATTCAAAAACTTCAGGGTAAGATTTAAAGAGGTCTAAAGTTAATTTTCTCAATAAGCATCTTACCTGTAAACAACACTGGAAATACTAAACACTTGAAGTTTCACATCATAAAATAATTCTAAACAAAATCTTGCTAAACGATATTTTGCTAATAAAATTCTAAAGACAAGGAAACTGAACAAACCACTGCAACATTTAGTGCTCAAAAGTTACAAGTCTGGTGATGATAATAAGCAAGGGACAGTGCTTGCTTTTATTATTCAAGGTAAACAAAACGCAAACCAAATATCTAAATGAAAAACCCCATGTTTTCATTTCCTAAAACTGTTTTAATCGTTTCATGCCATTATGTAAGGAAGCCTGTTTCTTTTACATATACAATTTCTTTTACACAAAGAATAGATTACAAGATACAAATACAGTTTGAGGAAGACAGGCTAGCTCAAAGAATTAACAGCACATCAACATCAAACATTTTTTTTTCAAATGCACTAACATTTTTCATGTTCCCATATACAATATGAAATTCAGGTTGAACCACATACCATAACCAGTTTCTGCTGTTGATTTTGCTTGCAAGAAAGGAGGCATCACTCCATGGTCAGAAGCAGAAATCTAGCTTTGTTGTTTCAAACAGCAGAGTATTTCATAAGGAGACACAAATTACCATCTCAAAGCATTATGAAAAATATCCAAAAAACCCTCTTTACATCTGCACAGCAGCCATTATTCCCCTTACATGCCATGAAAAGCACTACAGAAATCTTCTCAACTCTCAGGAAAAATTGTTGGGCCAGTGTTTCAAACAGCAGAGTATTTCATAAAGAGACACAAATTACCATCTCAAAGCATTACGAAAAATATCCAAAAAACCCTCTTTACACCTGCACAGCAGCCATTATTCTCCTTACATGCCATGAAAAGCACTACAGAAGACTTCTCAACTCTCAGGAAAAATTGTTGGGCCACATTTCTCTCCAGCTCTAATCTAAATTCTGCCACTGTTCTTCTAGGAGATGTATGGATGAGGGGATTGAGTGCTCCCACAGTAAGTTTGCAG